GGGGGGGGGGGAGATCGGCATAAATGTTTTAACATTTATATTATTACGATTACTACGGTTTCAACTATACACATGTATGTAAAGTCGTAGTCAATGAATATTATAAACACATATTCGCCAGTCTGTTTACATTATTCATAATCTATACATCTCGCGTCTGCTGACTTGTAATCAGAATATGATAATCGATAATTGAACTTCCGCATTTCATTGTTTGATATGCCATTCCAAGAGTTCTTAATGATTCACGTATCAACATTATTTGATCTTAAAATAATTTTCGTATAATATGCGATACTGTTAATTTTATACATTACATTTCTTTATAAATTATATAGTAACCACATACATTACACTTTTAAGGGGGGTATAAACATCACGGAAGTAATAGGGAATCGTAACTGCGCTATTGTTTGCTTTATACGTAGTCTTTAATTATTACTTGTTAAAAAGTGATATTTCTCTCCTTAAAAGTGTGTAATAATATAAATGTTAAAACACTTATGCCGATAATTGTTGCAGATGATTACTCAACGCGTTTATTGAACATATAAATGTCTACGATTGGAAACTACATTCTGAATTCTTTGCTATCAGATGTATACATATCTCTTTTAATTCTGTATCTATTAGATGATAATTTACAATGCAAGTGCAATCATGATTTGTTCTTTGCTATCAGATGTATACGTATCTCTTTTAATTCTGTATCTATTAGATGATAATTTACAATGCAAGTGCAATCATGATTTGTTCTTTGCTATCAGATGTATACGTATCTCTTTTAATTCTGTATCTATTAGATGATAATTTACAATGCAAGTGCAATCATGATTTGTTCAATACATTGACTATGATAAAAAAATGTTTTTCTTCACAATGGATGTTTTCCATTTAATAACACAAGCATCATCCTATCTTTGTTATTCATTGAATATGGAACAAAGACAGAATGATGCTTATGTCGACTTATGTTATTAAATATAAAGCACCCAATGTAGTCCATAGTTCTATATTATTCTACCTCTATGCGTAACTCATTATCTAATAATAGACAATGTTTTCAAGCTTCCACATATTGTCACACGATAAGATTGTCTCGTAGTCTGCATTCGTATCTTGTCTTTATTCGTGACTGTTTGATTTCGAATTTAATTTTTTTAATAAAGTGAAGGCTGTATTTGGCGCAATTAACGAGCCGAGAATCAGACAGTCACATCTGATACCAGACATGTAATACGAGTTAATGCATTCAGTTCATAAAGTCAGATTTCAAAAATCAATATGTCAAAGCGTCACTGACGTTATCAGGAGTTATCGACACAAAACATGTTCTGTTTTCACCGAATCTCCGACGGACGCATCAATACCTCCCGACCAATGCCCTCCGTCAATATGAAATATGACGTATTGCTCTTCGTTATTTGTCAGTAGCAGTTCGTCGGTATCGTCGATATCGACTCATCGATAATAAATATCGATTGTTCTGGGAGGTCCTCTACATGCGCCGCTATTCGTTCGTAGGAACCGCGCTTCAAGATCGCAATATCTCGATCCGAAGTGCAGTACGTCCTTCTGCCAAACTCGATTATCATCCGTTCACAAAGGTAGAACTTGGTATTCTCCTACCTAGAGCCAGACTGCGCGTACTTGTGTTCGGCGTTGTCGTCGAATCTTCACCTGTACTCCTTCAGCGCTGTGTACGCTCGATGAAATCAGTTCGCACTTACCAACTGGCGTCATTCGACAAGACAGACGCCACTGGTCTTGGTCGAACACCAGGAACTGCTACTAAATGGTCCGCCGCGAGTGTCCCAAGTTTCACGTCTGATCAGTCCGTTGTACCAAAGTCGTTTAATTAATAATCCTCTTAGTCACCGCGATTGATTCTGAGGGCAATTACGTGTACGAAAAAACGCGTACGACTGAGCCGTAGGTTAAATCGCCGTGCAGTATAAACGAATCCGTCGACGCTTCGATTTACCTCCTTATCTTCGAGTCCTTCGCCGCGCCATTAATCGAGGCCGTTGCATTCAAGTTTTACCTCCTAGCAGTCGACGCCGGTGAGCACGAGGGAATTTTAAAACACTTATCTCGATTTTTCTCACTCTCTCTCCCTCTCTCTCTTTCTCTCTCTTTTTCGGCTATCGATGAGAACGGACATACTCCGTAGTGAATGACCGATATTCCGTATTGAAGATCACGAATATCAGATTATGAGATAAATTTGGCCGACGTGTGCGGTGCAGATTTTTTTCTGCGAGTCATTTATTATTCTTTTATTTCTATTTCCCGGTGTCCTCAGCTCGATGTCTAAATTACACTTAAAGTAGTTTATCCATAAATCCACTTTCTTAAAAATCTTGTAAAGTTTTGATAGCATATTAATATAAACACGATCTACCTACATGTGCAATTAGAAAAAGTTTGATCGCACTAAAGTTGAAATAATGGAAGTCGAAGTTAGCATTTTTATCGCAAGCATGAAAACGGCTTCCGACAGCACGTTTCTGATAAGCGACCAAACTACTTTTATGGTTCTAACGAAAAACAACAAGATGATAAAGGAGATTTGTAAAAATGTTACTACAAAAGTATAAGATCTTTGACCGTTTAATTTTTTTTTTGCGATATTATCACATAATCATATCACAGGCAGCCCCGGTCAAAATTGTATAACATATTAATTATCTTTAATTATTATTAACTTTTTGATAATATTGTCACGGACGAACTACCTTAAACTTTGAGTTGCGCTTACTCTCGCTAGGTTGTAGGAGTTAAGAATCTAATATTAGTGAAAAAAGAAAAGAAAACTTCACGAGACATATTTAATGTTCAAGTACACACGCTACGCACACTGAAAGTTCCAGCAATTTCGCGCTGCAAACTTCCTCCGCGGACTAGCATAGTTAAAGCCACGAAGCAGCACTTGTATCCAGCGTTACTGCATTCACGCGGTTTAATCCTTTCGATACGGCACCGTCGGAATGCGAATTGCTTGCAACTGGCCAGGGCGTCAATCTACTGATGTGTCAATAACAGTCGACAGAACACTCACTCACCGTATGATGTAACGGCGTCCATGTAACTGAGCGTTATACAAGCCCGAGACGATACCTCGAATTAGAGATTTTAAAACGACATCTACAAAGGAAAAGCCGCTGGGGATTAAATGTTATCCGCGGACAGTTTACAACGGAGCGTATCACAAAGCCCTCGTGAACTTTGAAGTACCGATAAATTCTCTTTTTTACGAAGCGACTGGAGAAGAGGTTCGACTCGTCGCTTTTCATCAAGCTCGCGATATAACGCAACGCACGACGTTTCGCGACGATAGAATTTCGCGGGGCAGGCTTATCACGTTCCATCGTGGCGTTTACTGTATTTCAAAGCGCACTCGGACCTTATACAATGACCCCTGTACATCGGGGACTTGCCACTCGTGTGAAATCACTGGATTCCAATCCGTGTCCACCCGGTCATGCGATCTTGTTGCCCGAGTACCAAGCGACTTTCTGCTTCTCGCTCGGCGAGAGCCATCGCGAATGAAGCCTCGGGGGCAAACAAGTCGTGTGCAAGTCGCGGGGGTGTGGTGTCGGAGCTTGCTAGGTGCCGTAGTTCGGCTGGTGCGCGGTGGCAGGTGGGGGTTGACCGTGCGGGGGCGAGTGGGGGTAGAGCGAGCTCGTGAAAATCCATGGTGGGGACTCGCAGCCGCGAAGCAGCAGTGCGTCGCGACTCTAGCTGCCACGCGGTTGCCTATCAATCTTTTCTCACTGTCGGATCTTTCTTACCCTGTGATAATTAGTGAC